CAGCTTTGTTTTTTAGAGGTGAAGGAAAAATGATCTCCTGGTTTACTTTTAGAATCTGCAAAGCAACCCTGAGATCCCAGGTGGATTTAGTGTTTGGAAAAGGGAACTTGGAGGGGGACTAAGGTTGACCCTGAGCCCCCAGGTCACTGTTCACGTTTACAAAAGCAGACCTGGTATCCCCAGTTGCTTTTCTCTTGAGGTTGGCTTAACTTTGTTTACCTTCTGTCCTGGGTCACTGCCTCTGAGGTGCTTCAAAAGCAAAATCTAAAAGACCCAAAACAATGAAAGCTAAACCAGATTCAAGGAAAAAATGACCTGGTGTCATGAGTTCATTTTTACAAAGAAAAAGCCACTTGGAGAGTTCCATAGAATGATTTTAAGTCTGTCTAGATTCACTGTGTCATTTTCACAGTGATTGCAACAGGTCTGAGAAGTTTTTTGGGTGTGGATTGGGAATGAGACCATAGAACGGGAAATGGTCAGCAAGCTAAATGGGTTGACACAAATGAATTCCTCAGTGAATCAACTATTTTGAGTATGTAAATGGGGCTACCCATGCAACTGTTTCTTTCCTTAAATTGATCTTTTTGTTTACACACAGGGAGCACTGAGGAAGTAAAACATAACTCACAAATAGTGGCATAAATCCATTTTATGTTATCAGACTAGTTGTAAAGGATAAGTTTGTATCTCTGGTGAAAAAGTTAGAATACTAATTTCAGATAATCTTATAAATCATAATGAGGTAGAACTGAGGCACATTATTTTGTGATTCATTTTTGTATGATCCATACTTTGGTTACCTCCAAAAAGAATTTAAGATAGGATTATTTTACTTGTCTGTTAGTATGGGCCCATTTATAGAAATTAATACCAATTTTCATTATCCTGTGTAACTCTATCCTTTAATAAGTAACTATAAAATTGCTTTTGGATAAGATTGGAGAAGATTTTTGTTCTGTTCATGTTTGTTGTACATGCTTGAACTTTAGGTATATGTGTTAACTCATAAGTTCACCTGGGGGCTGGTGAGATGGCTCAGTGGTCTAAAGCACCTACTTAGACCAAGCTTAGCAAATCACAGGGACCACAGTTCAATCCCCCAGCACCACATGCCAGCCAGCCCCGCCCCCTGGTGGGCTGAGCTGGCCACACACACACACACACACACACACACACACACACACACACAGAGATAAATAAAATGTTTTTTAAAAATTGCTATTATTATAGATGAGGAACATTGTTAAATTCAAAAATATTTGTGTGGTGCTTTCTTTAGGAAGATCATTTAAGTCAGTGTTTAGACCTCAGGCTTTAATACTACCATGAGGTACTCTATCTTTTTTATTAATACCCCAGTTAAAGCCTAGAAGACATGCAGGAAAGTCATTGGAGTACACTCAGTTGTCAGTCTGCCTGCTAGCCAACACTAGCGTTTTTCAGAGAGCATATGCCAGCATAGTTTCTAGAGTACTCTGGTTTTGTATTCATTGAACTTCAAAAAGCTCCTCCAAAAGTTGGAATAGTGATCTGGCATTATCAGTCAGGTATTTCTTGGATACCTACCGATTGGTTTCACTGTGCTCTGCATACTTTGAGTTCTATGAGATTTGTGAAGTTATTTTTATGATTCCAGCAGTATTCTGCAGATGAAAAATCCATATACACATGAAAATGAGAAATCACAATATGAACTCAGCACACTTGCTTGCCCCATCTTTTCTCTTGTCCACATCTAGTATCCTTAAGGGCATAGACACAGTGATAATGTGTTCAGCCATTAGATTCAAAGGCTGAGGGCCGGGGAGATGGCTCAGTGGAATGAGCGCTTCCCTGGCAAGCGCAAGGGCCTGAGTTCAATCCCCGGTTCCAACCAAAAAAAAAAAAAGAAAAGAAATGATTCAAAGGCTAAGAGTAATGAACAAGCAATCAGTGGTTTCCACCTTACTCTATATTAAGCTGATAGTAACTTCTTTCTGTGTTACTGTAGTTTAAATTACTATTATTTTACATGCATGAATAGTATTTTTCTTTTAAATATTTTGTTAACATCAGAATATTGTTTCCTTATGAGTCTGACCTAGTAGTGAGACCCTGAACACCCTGTAGACCCTTCCCTAAAATACAAAAAAAAAAAGTTTATTAATAATGTCCCCACATATAATGTAATCCTCTTCAGGAAAGGGACATTGCCTAGTCCCAATATTGTCTCTGTAGTACATAGCATCATCATCTAGCACATTGTGCCTAGGTAGCAATATTTGTTTGTTGAGTAAATGAATTTTTTCTGGCTTTTTATCCTTTTATCCACATTGACAATACATTCTTTAATCTTTAATGTGCAAATTTCCACAGATGTTTACAGATTATGTATAAAATGTATTTTTTTATTTGAGAGAGAGAGAGAGAGAGAGAGAGAGAGAGAG